GACTGACATAATTCTGGATCATAAAGACAATGACCATTTGATTGAGGGTGCTGCTCTCCAGCTCCCCTACAGTGGGCTGCGTGTGCTGTGGTGGGCTGAACAGTGGCCCCCAAACACAGCCAGGTCCCATCCTTGGAACCTGTGAATGTTACTTTACAGGGAAAAAGAGATTTTGCAGATCTGAGTGAAGTATGGATCTTCAGATGGGGAGATTATCGTGGATTTATGATTAAGGATCTTCAGATGGGGAGATTATCCTTTGTTATCCCAGTGGGCAGTGTATATAATGCCAGGTGTCTTTATAAGAAAGAAGCAAGGAGGGGTTTTATTGCACAAGGCGATGTGACTACAGAAACAGAGGGACAAAGAAAAAGATTTGAAGATGCTGCTAAAACACTGGACTTGAAGGAAACTGGAACACATTTCCTGGTACCTGCTGGTTGCGGGCACTGGAGTGGGCTCTGCAGGGTCAGGGCACAGGTCTTCACCTGCTTTCTGAGAGCTTTCACTTTGGATGTGGCACAGGCATACACTGAAAGAGCCAGCTAGACAAATGGGTAGGGGAGCAAGGGGGAGTAAATGCAGTGCACAGCGACATGCTTGAGCGTAGGAGTGGGGAGGGGTCGGAGTGGGCTGGGTTTGTCCCAAGTTTTGAAAGGCTGCTGGAGATGGAGGATAGAGGGAGGCCGGGAAGGGCTGGAGTGCTGGCCACGTTCCTAGTATGTAGGTAATACGGTATTTGCAAGGAGGAAAGGACACGCAGGTGAACCATTCACGACCAGGTTTCACCTCAGATTATCCATTCAGTGAAATACCTATTTAGGTCCTTGGGTGTCGGGCTGGACGCGACAGAGGCCCGCACGTGGGCGTGGGGCATACGAAGGGAACTGCCAGGGGAGCCGGCGTGGCTGAACTGAAGCACGAGGACCGAGGGCCGGGTGGCAGGCAGGGTCGTGACCCTGCGGGGCCTTGCACGCCATGGCCGGGGGCTCGGATCTTGTTCTGAGGGCAATAACGTGGTTCTTCATTAATTCTGCAACAGTCTTAGGAACTGGGCCGTTTTAATTTTTTTTGATTTATTTATTTATGATAGTCACACAGAATGAGAGAGAGAGAGAGAGGCAGAGACACAGGCAGAGGGAGAAGCAGGCTCCATGCACCGGGAGCCCGATGTGGGATTCGATCCCGGGTCTCCAGGATCGCGCCCTGAGCCAAAGGCAGGCGCCAAACCGCTGCGCCACCCAGGGATCCCGGAACTGGGCCGTTTTATCCCGGTTTTACTGACGGACAGTAAGGCTGGGAGCGCGCAGGGTGAAGTAATTTGTCCCAGATCTGCCCCCGCCGCAAGCGCGAGGCGGGACCGGGTCTTCCGAAGTCCACCCGCTCCGGGGCCGGCCGCCCCACCCGCCGAGGCCCCGCGCCCACTGAGCATGCGCCGCTGGCCTACGGAAGCCGACAGGGAGGGGGCGGGGCGGAGGCTGGCGGGCGCGGGGAAAATGGCGGCGGCGGCGAACGGGACTGGAGGGAGCAGCGGGATGGAGGTGGATGCAGCAGGTAACGGGCCTCGCGGAGGCGGCCTCTGGTGACGCCCCCCGGGGAGCGACAAGGCCCCCCTGGACTCCCGGGAGGAGTCAGCAGTCGGGACGGCAATACCGCCCCCTGGACTAACTTGCGGGAGGGATGTATGGCTCCGGCTCTGCCGTCTCCCGCTCGCAGCTCCGGGGCAGAACGTGTGGCCCCGGCGCTCACTCGTCCTCCTTTTCCTCCACCCTCAGTAGTCCCCAGCGTGATGGCCTCCGGCGTGACGGGGAGCGTCTCCGTCGCTCTTCATCCCCTCGTCATTCTCAACATTTCAGACCATTGGATTCGCATGCGCTCCCAGGAGGGGCGGCCTATGCAGGGTGCGTGCTGGGCGTAAATCTCCAACCCCCTCTCCTTGGTCACCCCCCCCAAGTAGGGGTCTTTGCCCCCTCCCTTCCTGAGGCCACTCCCCCCTCCCCAGGTCACCGTGTCTCCAGCATTGCGTTCCCACTGACCTCGACCCAGGGACCGGATTCTTAACCCTCCTGTTTTACGTGTCGCTCTCTCCCCCAGTGATTGGGGCGTTGATCGGGAAGCAGGAGGGCAGAAATATCGAGGTGATGAACTCCTTTGAGCTGCTGTCCCACACCGTGGAGGAGAAGATTATCATTGACAAGGAGTATTACTACACCAAGGAGGAGCAGTGTGAGAGGGGGATAGACTCGGGGGTGAGGAGTGGGAGTGAGAAACAAAGGCAGAGTAGGGAAGATGGAGAGTGATGGGAAAAAATAGGAGAATGGGACAAGAACTGTGTTTGTGTGAGGAGAGTATCACAAAGGATCTCAGAAAAGGAACAGTTTAGGTACCCACCCCCCCACCCCCCCACCCCCCCCCCCCCACCCCGACAGTAATAGATGAGAGAAGATAGAAGGGACTAATTATTGAGAACTGAGCCAGGAGTTGAGCGGGGAGGGGAGAAGCTGATGAAAAATATACCAGGAGTTTCCAATGAAGGGAAGGTGATTTAAAGAATGATACCCTGTGCTCTTTCCTCTGCAGTCAAACAGGTGTTCAAGGAGCTGGAGTTTTTGGGTTGGTATACCACCGGGGGGCCACCTGACCCCTCTGACATCCACGTCCACAAGCAGGTACACATGCATGCTGGGGCATGCTGGGGCAGGGCTTGAGCAGGGGAGGGAGAAAGATGGGCATTGACACCCACGTCCCCATTCCCTTCCAGGTGTGCGAGATCATCGAGAGCCCCCTCTTTCTTAAGTTGAATCCTATGACCAAGCACACAGATGTGAGTAATACTGACCCCATGCCCACTTAGGCACGGTACCGTGGCGGACAAGCATGACAATCTTACCCTCCTCCCCTGCTGTGCTTTACATCTCTGTTGGGCTGAATCTTCACTTGAGGTGAATTCTCCGCTCAGCAGCTGTGTGACTTTAGGTTAATCATTTAATCTCAGAACTGCTTTTTGCCCTATGTATAAGGTGGGGGTTAGCCTTACTTCAGTGGGCCCTTGGGAAGATTGAGTGGGAAAATCTGCAGAAGAGCCAGTACAGTAGCCCAGGTGCACTTGATGTAAGAGCTGTCTCTCGTTGCTTTACAGCTTCCCGTCAGTGTTTTTGAGTCTGTCATCGATATAATCAACGGAGAGGTAATGCCCTGCCTTTCAACCCCGCGGTCCTGCTCCTTGGCCTTTCCTGCTCCTGACTCTGCTTTTGTGCCCTGTAGGCCACGATGCTGTTTGCGGAACTGACCTACACTCTGGCCACAGAGGAAGCTGAACGCATTGGCGTCGACCACGTGGCCCGGATGACAGCCACAGGCAGCGGCGAGAACTCCACAGGTAAGGAAGACTGGAGGTGTATCCTTGGCAGTGGGGGGTGGAAAGCGTGGCCAGGTGGGTTTTCAACCTTGGCCTCTCCTTATCTCCCCCCAGTGGCCGAACACCTGATAGCGCAACACAGTGCCATTAAGATGCTGCACAGCCGGGTCAAGCTCATCTTGGAATATGTCAAGGCCTCTGAAGCGGGTAGGACAGGCGTCTCCCTGGCACGCCTACCACTTTTTCTCACTCCTGAGGGTGACCTCATCCACATTAATGCAGTCCTTCTGTGCCTTTAGGAGAGGTCCCCTTTAACCATGAGATCCTGCGGGAGGCCTATGCTCTGTGTCACTGCCTCCCTGTGCTCAGTACAGACAAGTTCAAGACAGACTTTTACGATGTGAGTCTAAAATCCAGGCTGGGGAAGTGGGGTTTGTACATCATGTCTGCACGCAGGACCTGGGACTCAGACATTCCCTGGGCAACTGGTTTTCTGTTCCTTCCAGCAATGCAATGACGTGGGGCTCATGGCCTACCTTGGCACCATCACCAAAACCTGCAACACCATGAACCAGTTTGTGAACAAGTTCAACGTCCTCTATGACCGACAAGGCATCGGCAGGCGGATGCGGGGGCTCTTCTTCTGAGAGGGTACTTGAAGGGACAATGCACAGGTTGGACAGTGGTCCCACAGGGGAGGGGCATCACACTCCCTTTAGAGAAACCTCCTGTTGATAATAAAAGAGGAGCAGCCCCTCAGCACCTCTTGCAGTGGCTCTGTCCTCTCTGTTGGGCACAACACGGCTTTCTCAACTCGGATCTTGAAAGGAGGCCCTTGGTTCCAGCCTTGCTCGGCAGGACAGCCTGATTGGGAACTCTCTGCCACTTGAGGTGACCCCCTGTCCTGTCAGGTGGATGCATCTATACTGGGCCAAAGGCTGCCTGCTTCCACCCAGGCGAGCTCTGTTCTCTAATATCTCCCAGTGCAGAGACCAACCATATACACTTGACAAATGACTGCTTCTCCAGGCTAAGTGAATTCAAGTCTTTTTCACCAAGTGCAGAGGAGTATTTTCATTTCTGTGAAGGACTGCCCAAAAGCTCTGATCCCATGGCATAATTTATTGCCAAGAGGGAGAGGTTCTCTTGTCTTCTTTGCTAATGTTTACTGAGTGCTTACTACAGCGCTATTTATCCATACCCGACCCAGGAGCACCCCTCAACACTAGGAGGCAGAGCGCATACTTTAGAGAGACTGGTATATACAATTATGTGTGCCAGTTGTTCCATCTCCACCTGCCACCCTCCAGTCCCATCATCGCCCCTAGACAGAGCTTTAGAGTAGGAGTTGGGGATAAAGGAAGATATGAGCATTGAGGCATTTCAACAAGTGGAAAAGGAGAGGTGTTGGTTCAGAGGCTTTCCAGAGCCAGGGGGTGGGGGCACAGTAGGCCCAGGGGGACTGGAGATCTAGTGCAGATATGATCTCCACACAGAACCTACGTACAGGCCAGGGACACAGCAGGGAGGATCAGTTCCTGGCAGGCAGAGTGGGGGCTTTAACTCCGTAAATTTATGTAGTCTACGGGGTAAGACACTGAAGGGAACGAGACTCTAGAAAACCCATAATACCCTGTTTGAATAGAATATAGCAATCTACAAACACTTTATTAGCAAGAATAAAACAAGTGCAGCTCAGGAGAAACGGGGGGGGGGTCTTCCTTTCCCCTCAAAGGCATCATGAGGTCTCTTGAGGGAGGGGTGGGTCAGCACAAAGGGGGACCCCAATGTCTCGCAAGCTGGATGGAATCAGACAAAAGTAATCCGTGTCCGGGCAGTATTAACCTGCCAGACATTTAACTCCTCATACTCATCTAGAGCCGCCTGGAACTGGGCAGGCGTGAAGCCTCGGGATATGCAGCGCTGCTCCGCTTCTGAGAACCGCACACTTCGGCCCTCGGAGACCAGCTCCCGGACAGTGGCAAAGATCACATCTGCGGGTCTCTGGGTCCTGGAAGAGCATGGGTGTGTAAGAGCAAAGGACCCCAGGCCAGTGTTAGGATCTGAGGCCAACATCCCCCCGTGTGGATGCAGAAGCTGTAAAGATAAAGATTAGTCTGCTCAGAGAAAGTCAAGGCACCTCCTGCTGCCTTCTCCGCTCATACCACTCACCTTGCCATCTGCCCCTTGTCGCCCAGAAGGGAGTCCTTTGACATCTCCATTAGCCTTATGGCTTCATTCACATCTTCCTTCTCCACTGTGTCCACCATCCGCAGACGCGCCTGCGGGGAAGGTAGGGAGAGATGGGAACGGGAGGAGGGAATGGAAGCAAGTCAGGGAGCCCCCCTCGCTGCGGCTGGAAGCCAGGCACCCCCAACCCTGAGAGGAGAACCCCCCGCCCAGCAGCCGCAGTGCGGGGCCGGCACTGTCAGACCGAGACAAGTGCAATGCGCGGGCAGCGTCCAGCAATTGCCCAAGTCTCCGCCTCTCAACGCTGGCCAGTCCCGGGGTTCAGCTGTCCTGGGAGGGAGACCAGACCCTTCTGAGCTCCCCCCGGGGGCTCCCCCACAGCGGGACAGACAGGGCAGGGGGAGCTCGGCCAAGAAGGCGACTGGCAGAGAGGTCGCATCCCTGGGGCTCGGGAAGTGCTAGCTCAGCAGTAGGTCAGGTAATCACACTACCTGCACGAACAGCACTTTGGAGCCCCCGGGACTAAGGTCCGAGGCGTGCGGCCACAAAGGCCGCTTTCTAGTGAGGGGCCTACATCCCAGGGAGTGGAGGCGACCCTGTCCATCCCATGGGTGAGGCTGGAACGGTGGGCGCAGACCTTTCCCTCCGGGAACGCCGTGCGTGCCCTGCCGGAGCAGCAAGTACCCACAGTGCGGTAGCACGGAGGACCGCTATCTGCACTGTCAGCACTTTAGCACCGGCAGGGCCTGAGTGGGAGGGAGGCGGCCTGGGGCGGAGCAGGCGGGGGCCCGGTAAGCAGCGGATGGCCCCCCACCACCACGCTCACCAGGGCGGTGGACAGCCGCAGGATGGCCAGCAGCGTCCGGGCCGATGTGTAGGTGGCATCCTTGCTGGCCCAAGCCTCTCGCCTCATCTCCACGTACGCTGCTGTTATGTAGTCGGCCAGGGACTCTGGCACTGTGGGCTGCTTCTCCCGGCACATGGCGATGTAACGTCTATGGGAGAGAAGGTTCCCGGGAAAGCAGGACCCAGAGTTTTCCATTTAAGAAAAACACTTACAGGACACCCCTCCCTGCCACGTAAGTGGGGGAAAAACAAATTAGCTTGAACATCACTGATGGGAGTTCCCCAAGAGTTTTTACAGGAGTTAGATAAGATAAATACATCTGTCATAAAAGATGGTCAAGTCCCCCTCCCTGAAGCTAGGACCTGGGGGTGAGGAGGAATACACCTTGTTTACTTCAAGAGAACAAGGTAACAGAGAAGGAGAACTAAGTGATTACTGGGACCCCTTGGACAGACCCTGGGGAGCAAACAGGCAAATATTTGGAGCAGCATCCAACTACACAAGATCTGAACCTGCCTCCACCTGGAGACTGGCAGTTGGTGTGAAAGGTTCTGATGCCAGGTTCTTGTGAGGCCAGGTTGGGGGTGCCCAGACTCCCTGTCCTCAGCCCCAGACATGGGGCGATAGTGAAAACCACCCTGTGTTCCCGGAGACACACAGCACCAACTGCTACTACGTGGGGTGACACGTCGCGCATCCTGGCCTTTCTCCCTGGTTCTCCTACCTCATCAGTTTCATGTCCAACGGCTCAAACTGGGCTGGGGGCTGCCGGCTGTGCTGGTGCACGTAGGTGATGTGCTGGGCCAACCTGGGAAGAGCAGAGGCAAGTAGAAACCACGTCCTTGGGACTCCACACCCTGTGCCCAGCTCTCTAGTCATGCCTCAGCTCTACCATCTCTTCTTCACAATGTGATTGGGAGTCTCTCTCAGCAAACTCTCACCAGTATTTCACTCCTGACCTCCATTTTCCTAAAGAACTATGGTCTAGCTCCCACACTAAGAAGGGAATTTCTATAAGTAGGGAACTGGAGGAGTTTCCAATGTCTTCTGCTTCCCTACGGATCATCAGGGATGTGTGTCCCCTGGAGTGCTGAGCTTTACTCACCGGAGATCATTGTCCCGGTCAGGCCGGTCCTGGATCAGCCAAAGGAGATCAAATCGGGACAGCAGCGCAGCAGGAAGCTGTATGTTCTGCTCCAGACTGCGGCGAGGGTTGTAGCGCCCGTAGGCAGGGTTGGCGGCGGCCAGGATGGAACAGCGGGCATTGAGTGTGGTGAGAATGCCGGCCTTGGCAATGGAGATGGTCTGCTGCTCCATGACCTCATGGATGGCTGTGCGGTCTGCCTCGGCCATCTTGTCAAACTCATCAATGCAGCACACTCCCTGGTCAGCCAGCACGAGGGCCCCGCCCTCTAGGGTTAGTTCTCCGCTCACAGAGTCTCTCAGTACAGCCGCTGTGAGCCCCACTCCTGAGGAGCCCCGGCCCGTCGTGTACTGGCCTACACGGCAGGATCAGGAACAGGAAAAAAAGCAGACATGCTAAGGAAGAGGAAAAGGAATAAAACAAGGAAAGAAGCAAGAACAGGGCTGAAATGAGGTCTGCCTGGGAGCACTCCACCGACCTATTAGGTTCAGGCTTTTGTGAGGCAGTGAAGAATCAAGTGTATGCAATGGAAAGCCCTCTCCTCCCTGACCCCCCCTCCCCACCCAAGGGACAGACTAAGTGCCGGGGTCCCACCATCTGGTACATGCACCCCTCCCAGGATTCCGCTACTCACTGCGGGGTGCCAGGCGATCGATGTAGGATAACAGCTGGGACTTGGCCACACCTGGGTCCCCCATCAGGCAGATGTTGATGTTGCCTGAAAGAAGGGGTGAAGCCCCCAGATGAGCCTTCTGTCCATGCAAGTGCCAAACAACAGACCAATTCTTTTGAGATTCTGCCCAGGAACCAGTACCGTCTCTTCTCATCCCTCCCCAGGCCCATGAAGCCAAGATGCCAACTCTTTTTTTTGTCCCGGAACATAGCATCACAGATTTGATCTGTGTCACAGGGTACTGGTCCTTGCCATCCTGGCTCCCTGCCAACCACCCCCTCATTTCCCCACCTTACCCCTGATCTTCATGCCCCGAGGAGACTGGTCCACCCCTCCCACCAGCAGGAGCAACAGGGCCTTTTTCACGTCTTCGTGCCCATAGATCTCCGGGGCGATGGAAGCTGCCAGCTTCTCATAGAAATCTTCCTCTGCAGAAAAGTTCAGAGTATTTGGGAGAGGGATGAGGGGTGGGGGCCAGGAAGTAGTTTGTGTTCCCAGGCTCCCCCAGGGGACTCACCTGTAATTTGCGTCAACTCCTCCCTGCTTAGCTCTACAGCTGCAGACTCGTCGTCCTCACTCTTGCTCATTTTCACAACTCGGTGGGCTTCCAGGTAAGTTTCAGAGAGGAGACCCTTGGGCAAGAAAACCAGGGCCATCTTTATGGATGAAGATCCTTTAATGTGCCTGTTAACAGGATTCCCTCAAGAGTTGCTTAAAAACTTTATGTGCTACTTTATCATTGACAATTCTCTGTGGAGGCGGTGAGAGTGGAAAAAGAGGAACATTTCCTCCTCCTTTCAAGCCCTTTTCTCACCTGTACCACCTGTCGGAACCCAGTGCGCAAGATGGGCAAGAAGATGCCAGTGACGCTGACATGGTCCCCGGGCTGGGCAATCCTTGTGTTTTCACCTTCTACCAGCACGGTGATGCTACGAGGGATGTTTCCCACGGGCACCTGGTCACTCTACAAGGGGAGAAGACCCATGGGCACAGAGAAAGGAATACAAAGCCTATGTATAAGGACCTCCTCTTTCTCGGGCCCAGGCATCCCATACCCTACTTCTCAGCCTCAGATGAACCGGCTGGAGGGAGCCTGCGATTTTTGCCCCTTCCCAACTCAACTATAAAGTTCAAGTTAAACCTCCTTCCCACTCTAGGTGACCTCTCTGCCTTAGCCCCTTTTGTTTTTTCTTTCTTCTGCTCTGTGACTATAGAACCTAAGTGGACACCAGAACCCCACCCTCCCTGGGCCACATACCACAAACTCACATGTTCCTGCATCTTCATCTCTTGGAATTTGATGAATTTGGAACCACGTGTCTGCAGATACAGCCGCCCTCCTGAGCGATTGGTCTGGCACTCCTGGCTGGGGCACATGATCAGAGGCATGAAAGTAGGAGACTGGATCTAGGATGCAAGAAAAGAAAAAGCAAAAAGCCATGAGTCCGTCACCTGAGTCAACATTTCCTCTTCCCCACAGCACACATTGCACACTGCCAACGTTCTGACCTGTCCTGAGTCAATAATCATAGGAACCAAAAACCCATAAAGGATGATGGAAAGACCACCACGGAGCAGAAAAACAATGAGAAGTGAACACACAGTTGTGTTTCATAACAAACACAGCAAACAGCAGATAACTACCAGCAGTTAAAAGTAATTCTGGGGCAAACCACTAACAAGTATGTTCCTATTCCTTGCTCCCTACATACCGGCTGGTAGGTCTCTGCTCCACACTGGTCACAAGTGTAAGTGGCCACCACCATCCTGGGTTTGACTTCGGAGACACGAGTGACAATTCCACGTACAGTGACCAATTTCCCCACAGAGTCAGCCCGTACTTCCCGGATCACACGAGGCTTGTTACTGCTTGGGCCTTGAAAGTAGAGCTCACTAAGGGAGAGAAAAGAGTCATTACAAAGGTTCTGGAGCACAAGCTTCCACAGCCTTCCTCGCTGAGACCACTCACAATCTGCGCATGAGTTCGGGAGGGTACTGGTTTTGCGGGCTTCGGGCTGCCCCAGGGTCGCGGCTCCGCTGTTCCATCATCAGCCGATGTTCAATGTAAACATCCAGAACATCTTTGTTTACCACCTCAAGAGAAAGAAAAATAGAAGAAAAAATGTGTGGCAGGACTAGAGAACGAAAGACCACAAAAGGAACCAGGCAGAAATTACTGCCCCCTTTCTGCCAACTCTGAAAAACCGGTATCTGAGAAGCTTCCGGAAAGCAACCTGTGTTGTCCTGCAACCACTCACCTCCCTCTCCTTGTACTGAGGCAGCAGCTCTTGTACAGCATCAGCAAAGAGGCTGGTGTAGCGTCTGGCATTCTCACAGATGGAGTCCACCAACTCAGGGTCATCCTCAGCTATATCATCTAGGTCTATGTACATTGCCACTTGTTCCCGATGAGCCAGTTGAACCTGGGGTAAGGACGAGATAGTAAGAGCTGTGTACACCATGGTCAGCAGTGTCCCCCATCCACAAGGGTAGAAAGAAGCATGAGACAAAGCAATACTCACTTCTCAGCCCCCCAAAGACAGCCCTCTAACTTCTAAAGAACACACTGATCATTACCCACATAGAATGCCTTCCACTTACTAAATATTAAGAATCACACTGAAGCTGTCACCTACATGTACACTTACTGAAGCAAGCCAGGCCACCTCTTACAGCTCCTTAAGCAACCACCCATTCCCTCCACTTTTTCTATGACTCACCAACTGGTTCCCATACTTGAACTGCTTCTTGCCAAATTCATCATCCTGATAAAACTCTTGTAGGAATTTCTTAACCTTTTCTGTAAGGAAAACGTAAATCATGAGAATGAGTCTTTCAGATACTTTACCACAAAACCCCTTGATACGCTTCTTTAAAAAACTCGCTTTTACTTCGTAATTCTTACCAAGTAGAGCAGAACTCCTTCTAACAGGTCTATTCTCACCTAGAGAAGGGGCCCCGGGCAGTCAGGAGCTTTGCCCAACAACCTTCCCCCAGGGAATCCCAATATCTCCCTTAGTTACAAATCTCAGTACTCGTTCCCAAAGGCCTTTCACACCCCGCCACACGCTCTGAGCTCAAGGTTCTCAGTTTTTCTTCCACGCGTTGAGATTCCTCTTTTTCTTTCGGTCTCCTCAGTCTCTCCACTAGGCCCGTCCTGCACCCCACCCCCTCTCCCGCCACTGCTTCCGCTCTTAGTAAACAAAGAAGCACATGGGCCCAGATGCAGCCGCCTCACAGCCCGGGATTCCTCCGCCCAGGGCGGGAGCCCGTCCGGCGATTGGCCGGCTCGTCAAGGGCCACTCCGTCCCACCCGACCACCTCCTTTCTCGGCCTCCCGCGAAGCCCCCCAGTTTCAGGCACGCCCCCACCCTGAGCAGCTCTTTCCGAGGCCGCGGCGCGGAAGGACACTGTTTACAGACGACACTCCCTCCAGCGACGTCGCGCAACTTCCGCCCGCCTTCACTTCCGCTTAGAGGTTGGCCTAAAATGGCCAATCCCGGCACTCAGCGGCCGGGGCCCGCCCGCCCGCCCCCGGGACTCCGGCGCGTCTCGAGAGGGCGCGGGCGCTCCGAACGTCTAAGGGCGCGCAGGGAGGGGGGCCCGGGGTCCTGTCCTTGGGGGCGGAAAGCCCTTTGGGTCTCCTGAGGTCCCGGTCTCTCCTGGGCGCGACCCTCCCCCCGAGCCTCCAGCCCCGCTATCCACCCCTCCCCCGCCCACCGCGATCCGCCACTCCTTCCCCAGGCATGACTGGCTCTTCGACTTCGGCGGCCCGCGCGCCTCCCACGCACCGTCTGCCTCTGCCCTGCAGCCTCTCGACCCTGCCTCTGGCCGCGCGCCCCGGGGCCCCAGGGCCCCAGGACGCCGGCTCACGCCAACAGGTGTTGGACCGCAGGCTTCCCGCGCGGGACGCTCCTCCCAAGTTTGCATATCCTCACCTTTCTCGAGCACGTAGTCTTTAACTGCCATCGCCCGTGCGGCAGCGGTTGGCGGGCTCAAGGCGCTCACTCCCAGGACAGCAGAAAAGCGTCCGCGCGGCGGGCTCCTGCCGACCAACCGAAATTGGCGCGAAACGTCGCCGCCCACGTGACGGGCGCCGCTGCGTGCAGGCCTATCACAGAGGAGGCCCTTCGCCCCTCCCACTCTCCCGCAGGCCATAGCTTCGGCCAATCACCAGGTGAGTCTGGACTGAGTGACGGGGCAGCGGCGCGGGCACCCGAGCTGCGGAGAGGCGGGGCGGGGCGCGGCGGGCGCCGGGTTTCCCGCGGTCCGAGCTGGCTGGGACCGAGAGAAATTGCTCTTAAAGGACCAGCCTACGCGCGTCCTTTTGTTCCGGGGCCGCAGGGCGGGGCAGGCCCAAGTTTCGCTTTCTCCTTGCAGACTCTCCAGCCACCATGATCTCCCAGTTCTTCATTCTGTCTTCCAAAGGGGACCCGCTCATCTACAAGGATTGTATCCTTGACCTGCGGGGCGGGAGGCCTGGGTGGGAGTAGTGCCCTAGAGCCCGCCCGTGTCGCCGACTCCTTAGCTGTCCTTCCACCCGGTCAGTCCGCGGGGACAGTGGCGGTCGGGACGTGGCCGAGCTCTTCTACCGGAAGCTAACGGGACTGCCCGGAGATGAGTCCCCGGTTGTCATGGTAACCTGCGGCGGGGCTTGGGGTAGGCTCCCCGAGGGCTGGGGGGCGCCTCCTTCCTCCCCGGACCGTTTCCCTGAGAGCTGCCGCTGGGGGGCGCGGGCTGGGCGGGGGGTACATTCTGCCAAATAATCGGAGCGACAGTTTCTGGAGCGCTAACACTCTACGGGGCGCAGCTCCACCAGTCCGGGGTAGGTACCAGGGCCACTTCCACTTCCACATTAGGCAGCTGGGTCCCGGGGCGGGGGCGAGGTTCCTGGCTCGCCCCAAGGCCCACCGCTAGCAAGTCTCGCGGGTCCTTAATCACATCTCTTCCTAACGCTCTCTTCCTCGCCTCTGCCTCAGCACCACGATGACCGTCATTTCATTCACATCAGACACAGCGGCCTCTATTTGGTAGCCACGACTTCAGAAAACATTTCTCCCTTCAGCCTTCTAGAGCTGCTCTCCCGGTGAGGAGGGCAGGGCTGGGCACCTGGGCGCGGGGATACGACCGTACAAGGGTATGCACACACAGCCCTGTTTTCTCAGGTTGGCCACTCTCCTGGGCGACTACTGTGGCTCCTTGAGTGAGGGGACCATCTCCCGTAACGTGGCTCTTGTCTACGAACTCCTGGATGAAGTGCTGGTGAGGGCCAGGGGTCTCCCCCAAGTGCCCAGTGCCCTGCAAATGTGGGCTGGGGTGGGAAAACTAAGTCCATTCACTTTCACCTTTTTCCTCCACTCACCACCCAAAGGCTGTCCTTCCTCTGCCCACAGGACTATGGCTATGTGCAGACCACATCCATGGAGATGCTGAGGAACTTCATCCAGACAGAGGCTGTGGTCAGCAAGCCCTTCAGCCTCTTTGACCTCAGCAGCGTTGGCTTGGTTAGTTGAGGGAAATAAGAGGAGGAAGGCTGGTGGGTACTGTGAAACCTGAAGATCATAGCTTTGGGTGCTTTCCAGTTTGGGGCTGAGACACAGCAGAGCAAAGTGGCCCCCAGCACTGCAGCCAGCCGCCCGGTCCTGGCCAGCCGCTCTGACCAGGTGAGCAGGGGCATGATGGATTCAGATCCTCTGATTTTTCTTCTGGGACACGAGAGACCAAGAGCCTGGTATTGGATGTGGATATCCTCAAATGTGGATAATCCTTTTCCTTACCCGTGTGTCCCCCCCCCCCCCGGGTCCTAGACTCCACTGCCCTGTCCCTTCTGCCTGTCCACTTTAGAACACAGGCTGTTCAGCCTCCAAGTGTCCAAATCCGTTCTCTTCCTCAGAGCCAGAAGAATGAAGTGTTTTTGGATGTGGTTGAGAGGCTGTCTGTGCTGATAGCATCTAATGTAAGTTTGGGCCCCCAAGTCTGGAACTGAGGACAGATGGCACTTGGGAAATGTTTTGGGAGCAGGGGCTGTGTAACCTGGGGATTGACCTCTGTGCCATTCTTAGGGCTCACTGCTGAAGGTAGACGTGCAGGGAGAGATCCGGCTCAAGAGTTTTCTTCCCAGTGGCTCTGGTGAGAAGTCTGCAGGCTTGACCCAGGGCGGGGCTTGGGACAGGTTCTTCGGTGCTGTATATGGTGGTATCTGGCAGCCTTTTCTGACATTCTTTCCTCTGACAGAGATGCGCATTGGCCTGACAGAAGAATTTTGTGTGGGGAAGTCAGAACTGAGAGGTGAGAAGTAGGTCTTGCTCTCCTCCGTAGAGGTCACCGCCAGAAGTTGTTTGGAACACAGAGACAGGTTCTCCCCTGCCTCTCCCCTGGCTGTTCACCCCTCCCATGATGTGGGTTCGAGGAGGAGACTTTCTCTCCTTCCAGGTTATGGACCAGGAATCCGGGTGGACGAGGTCTCATTTCACAGCTCGGTGCTTCTGGAAGAGTTTGAATCTCATCGAATTCTGCGCTTGCAGCCACCTCAGGGCGAGGTCAGGATTGGGCTGGCCTAGCATGTTCTGTCCACCACGGGGAAGGGAGGCAGTTCAGGGGTGAGGAGACCAAACTGATCTCCATTTCTATCTGGTCTCAGCTGACAGTGATGCGGTACCAACTCTCAGACGACCTCCCCTCCCCGCTCCCCTTCAGGCTCTTTCCCTCTGTGCAGTGGGACCGAGGCTCAGGCAGGTGAGACCACTTCCCTGTCCTGGAACTGCTCTGAAGTCTAAGCTGATACAGAGATGTTCCCCAAACTTGTTGTGGAGGAGGGGTGGTAATAGGGCTGAAGTCAGAAAAAGATGCCCTCCTGGCATAGGGACTCAGCCCTTAGTGGATTCACTGCTTGGGACACGACCCACCCAGCATGGAGGCGCCGGGCAGGGATGGTGAGCTGCCAGTGCATAACAGTACTGTGCCCTTCTACCCAGGCTCCAGGTTTACCTGAAGTTACGATGTGACCTGCCCCCAAAGAGGTATGAGTGGGGGTTGGCCAAGCCTGGTTCTGTTCTGTGGGGTGGGACACAGGGCTCACATATGTTTTGCTCCTGCCTGCAGATGTATCCACTGGCTTTGGAATCCTGTTCAGTTAGAGGCAGGAGGGCTCGGGAAGAGGATGGGGCAGCACTGTGCTGAGCCCTAGCTGTGACATTAAGAGTGGGAACGAGTCCCTGCCTTCTGGGGGCTGACTCTCTTCCTTTTTCCTTTGTAGCCAAGCTCTCAATGTCAGGCTGCACCTTCCCTTGCCACGAGGGGTGGTCAGGTTAGTGGATGAGCCACAGAGTGGACCGGGGAGGTAGGGAGTTGGCCTGCCTCATGAAGGCTGGGGCTGAGCGCAGTGCCTGTCTCCTTCAAACTGCAGCCTGTCCCAGGAGCTGAGTGGCCCTGAGCAGAAAGCAGAGCTGGGGGAGGGAGCACTTCGCTGGGACCTGCCTCGGGTTCAAGGTGGCTCCCAGCTGTCGGGCCTCTTCCAGGTACAAGCTGCTGACTTTCTAAGACCCTCTCTTCCACCCCACATTAAGCCCCAGCCTGTCCCTCCTCACAGTGAGCCTCCCTGGCCTCTGTCCCTTACAGATGGATGTTCCAGGCCTCCCTGGGCCTCCTGGCCAGGGACACTCCACCATGGCCCCTCTGGGCCTGGGCCCTGCCAGCCTCTCTTTTGAACTTCCCCGGCACACGTGCTCAGGCCTCCAGGTTCGCTTCCTCAGGCTGGCATTCAGACCCTGTGGCAGCACCAGCCCCCACAAGTGGGTGCGACACTTGAGCCACAGCGATGCTTATGTCATCCGGATCTGAGGCTCTCCAGATGGGGACATGGGCAGCAAACATGGTAGCCCGTGGAATGGAGGATGATGGTGTTTTTTCTCCCCTTCTGGCCTGTGGCTACAGACCTGGCCGAAGAGTCCTGAGAGGCCAGGATACCAGTCCTGGTCCACAAGTTTGACCTTCCTGTGGTACCTGACACAGGAAGGGACAGGGTGGATCAGAACTTACAAATCAAACTTTTATTCTGAGGAACTGGCTGTACAATATCTAAAAAATAATAATAATAATAATAACATGGAGGAAGCAAACTATTACTTACTTCCACCCAGCATATATATGTATGTGTGTATGTGGGAGAGAGAGAGAGAGAGAGAGAGTTGGGGACAGGAGGCTGGCAGATGTGTGACAGCATTAAGGCGCAGGCTGAGGAGAGCTAGATCCAGGGGGCTGGGAGCCATTAGCTTTTGGAGTCCCGGGAGCTGGAGGGGGGCTATCCCCAGCTTCCTGTTTCCCCCCACACAGGGCACTGCCCCCAAGCGGGGAGGGGGCCGAGGATGGGGGCGGAGCTGGGGAAGGATGGGAGGTGGGGCCCCCTTTGCCCTCCCCTGTAGGGGGAAGAGAGACCACAATGTACTTCTGGACACTGCCGGGACCAGAGGGCGCAGTGCTGGGGGGTGCAGTGGTGGCCGTGGAGACCAGCTTGACGATAGGCTGCACGCTGGGGACCGTGGTGGTGACGGGAGAGGTAGTAGTAGAGCCTGAGCCGGGGGCTGAGGTGCTGAGGGACAGGACCTGGGGGTAGAAAGAAAAGACACTGCGTGGGGGAGGATTCACCTGCTCCAGAGGAACAGCTGATGATAGTTGAGGTCCTTAGGAGCCTAGAGGCTGCTGCTAACTTGAGCGCCATGCTCAGGACAAGCAGCCATGGCCTTGTGGGCCTTCTCGAAATGCCCCTTCCGGCTCCTTTCTCTGGGCACAGAGGGAACTGGGTACTTGGAGGTAACCCTGGTCATGCTCCCCACCCTCCCTGGTCCCACATGGTTCCTAGTACCTGCTGGGTGGATGAGGCGCTGGAGGATGACGACATCACAATAAACTTGGTTGGGGGAGGAGAAGGCTGAGGCGGGGCAGCAGCTCGCGCAGACACCAGTGTCTGCACAGGCAATGCAATGGAGCCGGGGACCTTCAGCAAGCCAGGGGTTCGAGGGCCTGGTTGAGGGGCCTGTGAGAGGGTCAGAGTGGGCCGGGGCTGCAAGAAGAAAGCATCAAGGTCTAAGAGCAAGGAAAG